GAACTTCCTTACAGTTTTCCAAGGCTGTAAGCCTTTACAGAAGCAAGCTGCCAGATTTTTCTTCAAGGAGAAGCTGGTGGGGTTGAGTTGAGGGCTTTCAGTTAAACCAGTGAGCACTTAACCACTGTGCCACCAGGGATGCTCGGTTCATCATTAATGACAGCTACATTGAAGAAAGAATAAAATAATCATGATTGCCTCTATATTCCCCTTTTGTTCATGGGATCAGTTTGAGTATAGATGATGAAGTTCAAGTACATTTTGGCACTGAACCTCCTTTGAGTTTAACTCCATAGGGTGCAATAGTTTAACAGTGAGAAGTCCTTCTAGTGAAAAGACTCGGCAAGTTGCTCCCGTAAGATTAAACTCAAACCAAATCCACAGTCACTTAGTTCATTTTGACCCATAGCAACACAAAAAGATTACAGTCTGAACAATCCTACGGGCAGGTCTATTCTAGCATGGGGCTCGGGGGTAGGCCTTGGATTGCAAACTTTAAGGTCTGTGGTTCAGACTTAGCAGCTTCTGCTCAGGAGAAAGATGAAGCTGTCTGTTCCTATTTACAGTCCACTTCTATCGGGGTCACTATGAGTCGGAATTGAATTGAATTGAAGTGAGTTTGGGTGGCGTGGGTTTGGGTTTGGGTGTGGTGGTGGTGGTGGTGTGAGTGTGTGTGTGTGTGTGTCTGAGTATTTTGGATTAGGTCAGAATCGACTAATGAAAACAAACTCCTGAGACGATAGTAAAGTAGAACTGACAAAATCTTTTACTTGATTGCTTTTTTTAAGATGTTAGGTGTTTAGACTCCAGAAATAACTCCCAATATTTGTTTAATTAAGATAAATACCTTAGCTTTAGATAAAGATCAAGGAACAATATAATACTTAGATAAACCAAATGATTAAAAATCTTATCTTGTTTTATCTACGAATACATTGGTATTAAAAGTCAATGTTTTCTTTTTTTTTTTTCTAGTTATATTCTCTTTAATGCACTTTAAAATTTTATTAATAAAATTTGTATCATTTCGTCCTAATGTTCTATTCCCCCAACCCCACCCCACCC